TATAAGGCATTTTACAGATAATGACTCACAGCAATTCTATGAGATCGCTACTCTTATTATTCCCATTTTACAGATGAGAAACCTGAGGCAGAGAGAGGTTAAGTGACTTGCCCAAAGTTAGACTACTAGTAACATAAAGCTGCTCACAAAAAAAAGAGGCCAGGGCTGACTGGAAGTGAAATGTCAAATGACTGAAAAATTGTAAAAGGTCATCATTCATTATTAGTTTGGTTACTCCAAAGGGGTCATGATTTTTCTTTATTTCCTACCTAGATGAAACATTTTCAGTTTTTACTCTGTCCTAAAATCAAAAACAGAACACTAAACAGTTCTATCATGTTCCTGATGACCGTAAACTATTCTCTCTCTGCAAAGTCGGGGAGAAGTCTGTGGCAGGGAGACAGAGGCTACGTTCCTTCACCTGTGCTACGCTTTCCACCCTAGCTCACCTGAACTCTTAACTAAAGCAATAGCATCCTTCTTCAATCAACTTTCCCCAACCATAAGGCCAAGTACAGAGATACCAGAAGCAGGCACACCAGGCCCAAAAGAGCCACTTAACCCAGGCTGGATGGGATGGTGGGGGTGTTCAGAGGAGGTGACACAACAATGGAGTTATGTGAATAGATAGGTCACTCTTTCTTTTATAAGCACTAAGTGACAAGGGAGGGAGGAGTTAGCTAGAGAGAAAAAAGGGCTTCCCAGTCCAAGATACTGCAGGTTTCAAAACACAAAGGTGGGCATATACAGGTAACTTAGAGGAGTAAAAATATAAAAGGTCTTAATAAAGATTACAGCTAACAGGACATGGTCTTACCAGCTCTTCTATCTTTCCCCCAAAAGGCAATACACAGGCATAGCTCAGAGATATTGTGGGTTCAGTTCCAGATCATCTCCATAAAGCCAGTATAGCAATAAAGCAAGTCATCTTTTTGCTGCTGGAGGGTCTTTGCCTTCAATTTGTAAAAATATGCAACATCTGTGAAGTGCAATAAAACAAGGTATGTCTGTAACTGATAATTCCTAACAGGGGTGACTACTTCCAGGTTTAACTTTGCTTTTGAAATGGCCCTTCTAGATAACCTGAGTACTTTTGTGGATTATTTTAAAGGGTCCCTTAGAAAAACCACTTCCCCCGAGGCAGGTTATTTTTCTTTTTTAGATTGATCTGAAAGATATTTTAATCTAATCTGAAAAAAACTGATAGAGGCCTGAACACCCAGAGGGCAATAAATGTGAAGAGATTAAAAAGTCATAAAAGACTTAAGTAAAAGAAATAAGAAAAGTCTTCCAGGCTACTAATGGGATTCTTGGCTCCCAGAAGCTGATTAAAGGACCCTTCAAAAGCAACTGTCATCCAGGTGAAGATAGCTGCTGTGTGGGAGAGTGTTTCTGCAGTGAAGTTTCTTTAATAATAAGAACAAAATCAGTGCCATCATTCTTGGAAGCTTTAAGGAGGGTACGTGTGCAGATTACACACCACATGGGGGGGAAAACAAAGAAAAAGTGAGGAGTATTTAAAAAAATAACAGCAATTTTAATTTATAACAACCCTAGGCAAAAGTGCCACACTCTCCAGGTCCTAATAAGCCACATAAAAATATCAACACAGGACACAAATGCCTCACTCAGTCTAATTAACCATGCTATTTTTTAAAAAATATATCTTTATTAATTTAAGAAAGAGGAAAGGAGAGGGAGAGAGAGATAGAAACATCAATGATGAGAGTCATTGATCGAGCCCACAACCCGGGCATGTGCCCTGACTGGGAATCGAACCCCGGTCGCCTGGATCCTAGGTTGACACTCAACCACTGAGCCACGCCAGGCAGGGCAACCATGCTATTCTTGGTTCAAGACACTGAAGTGGAACTGGTGACATCTAAGGCTTACCAAATTCCATCGAGAACTTTCCATTAATAGTTAACATTTCACATGCACACACTCAATAGCAACCATAGTGCTCAGGCGTTGACATACATCAGTGCATTTAGCACTAAACCAACTTCTACCAAATGGGTACTCACATCTCCATTTGACAATGAGGAAAATGAGGCTCAGAAAGGTTAAGTGGCTTCTCTAAAGTTTCACAGCAGTAAGTAGAACATGGAGAATCTGAAGTCACTCCATTCAATTCCAAGGCCCCACTTATAAGCACTGTATTCTTCTGCCTCTCAGGGCAGAATCTGACCATGTCCAGAATCTGGCAGAAAACTGTAGAACCTGTCTGCTGGCTGTCTCTGGCCTAGGAAATTCTCTCCATCGGGAAGTTTTTGGCACCTAAGCTCCTGAAAACATTTTTTAAAGGCAATTTGTCTCAGGCAGACATTTCATATGATGAGAATAAGTACAAAACCTCCATTCTTATCTTAGGAACTTAATTCTTGCTTATCCTTTGAAAATTGAAAAACGTAAGGACAATGAAGGGAAAGTATGAGACACAATAACCATTCTCTGTCCATGCAAATGAACTACTCCCCATGTTTAATCTCAACACTATTCCATAAACCTAATGATGACAGTTAAAATGTTATAAGTAAAAGAATACTGGACTTCTTATACTGCAATTAAATATAACCATGCCAAATATTTTAATACATAAAACATTAAAATATATAGTAAGCATTATGTGCATTACTGATACATGAATTCCAGTTGAGAAATGGGCTTCTGAAGGCATTCCGGAACCCTCCAGGCTCCAGGAGTCCAGAAGTCTGGGAGTTATAGCAGAAAACAGCCACTCCTTGAGTCTACACACACTACAGAGGCCAAATTCACTTACACTGAACTCCTAGGGAGTATGTTCTTCCGTAAGCTACTTCTCTAGGAAAATTTAAGAATGATCTTACTTTCCACCATCTCATATTACACCGGAAACATTTTTTCAGGAAGCAAGTGGCTATCTCTTCTTCAATAAAAGCCAAAGCCTCAAAGAGATAATGCAACTGAACCGAAATATCTGCACCATTCTCCCTACTTATATTACAGAAAAAAATCCTCTTCAAAGCTGAGAAGTGTAACGTTCTTCTGCTGAAAGCAACCTCTTTCTTCAAGCCCATGAGAAAATGGGTGCCAAGGAGCAGAAAGCCATGGGGCCAAGAGTAAAGCAGAACCAAACCTCCTCTGGCCCCTCACCACCTCCTCCCTCCATTGCAGCAGCGTCCCCAGTGATCACCAGGCTCATGGCAGAGCCAGGCAGGGGCAGTTTGGGGAAACATCCAGATCCACAAGTGCCAATTCAGTACCAGAGACATCTGCTTTGTTGCTGCAACCAGAAAGGCATCACCACTGAGAGAGGCCAACACCTACCAGGAGGCTGATAGGCTAATTAGTACAAAAGCTAAGCTTAATGGCAGGTATCTTTCTAAGAGTCTACAACTTTTCATCTCCTTTTCAGAGATGCATCAATGGCACCAACCCCCATCTCTGTCCCAGGCACAAACCATGGAGTGGCAGTAAATCTGACTCTGCTCTCTCCATGCCTAACAAGCAATACATCATCTTTTTGGGCCTCCTTGACTTCTCCCCTTCTTCTCCAGTGTCACAAACTGGTCTGGATCTCATAAACTCAGTCCTAATCCAGTCTTCTTTCTTTCATCCATCAAACGTTTTTGAGCACATACTGTGTTCCAGGCAATATTATAAAGAAAGTAAATATGAATATTGCACAGCTTTAGCCCCTCCAGGCTCCCAGTGGAGAAGAGGGACATCTAGATTAAAAACACATTACAATCCTGTGTAACAAGTCATGAAGCCAGGGATGTCTAACTTCATAGAAGAGAGGGTTATTTTAACTTTGTCAGCTTGATACAGACAGGCGTTACATAGGCTGTGATATCTGAGCCGACTCTTGATAAAAAGTAAAACTATTTTGGGTGAAGAAGAGTGGAGAGCGAGGAAACAATACTTGTAAAGACATACAAACCTGAAAACGTGTGCCCTGGTTCAGGAAGGGCAATGAGGTAGAATGGCTGGGATGCAAATGCATGGAGGGGACGGGAGCTAGGGTAGGCTGTGGTGAGATTCAGGAAGGCCTTGCACGTCTCGCCAAGGAAACGGGAACATTACTGTTGGTAATGAACAACCAGAGGTGTTTACGGGAGAAGATCTAAACTGAAGCCACCTTCAGCCTGAAGAGTGTTTTGTTTCACCTTTATAAAATATTTTTCAAATACTGAAATTCGTCTCCAACTTCTAAAAACTACTAAATTTCATCTGGATACTTGGTTTCTTAAAAAAAAAAAATTAAAAAACAACAACTGGTAACACGGAGCCAACGTCCCCAGGTGGTAACAACTGTTTGGATCTGAGTAGCAGATGGGATACCATTACGGAGTTCATGACCATCCTCACCTGACCCCCTGGCGTTAGAGTTTGCAAGCCCCGGTTTAAAGGGCAGAATAACACAAAGGGACTTGGTTACAGAAAAAAACAGCACTGAAAGCAATAGTGACTAAACCACAGGGGCAGTAAAACTGGAGGCAAGAAAGGAAAGTTAGGAAGACACCACAATAGGACAAGACCAGGTAACAAAAGCCTGAACTAAAGAGAACCCACAAAACAGTATTGAGTGAAGAAATGTTTAACATACTCCAGGCACAGGAACACCTATGGGCCATTTGTGTGGCATTTGTTCAAGGGGCAAAGACTGTATTAGGAGAAAAGAATAATAATTAAAAAATGATTTTCAATTAAAAAACACGGTGGCTATTAAGTAAACTGTGTAGACAATCCACCAGAATGCCCTAAAGCAGTGTAACAGCCGCTGAGGTACAGCAGCCTCTGCGGGATTCTCGCCCTGGCTCCCTCGCTCCTTTTCCAGTCAAAAGCGAACAAATTCTGACTGCAAACTTTCTGAGCTAAGGTCTTGATAAGCGGCGTCTACAAGCAGAGGGCGGAATACTACCCATGACAGCCTCTCACACAACGGCTTGCAGTTACTTGGAGAACTTTTAAGCCCTTGCAGCTCCTCCAAGGGGAAGGCCCAGCGAAGAACTCACACAGGCCGTTGACGTCCAGCATGTTGGAGATGCCGCGGTCACTCATGTCCACTTCCGGCTGGTTCTTCTCCCGACTCTCCTCCACCAACTTTTTCAGAGACTTGGACATGATCTGTACCAAACGACAACCAAGCACGTGGGTGAGGGCAGGAGGGTGCGGAAACAGAATGGAGACAACCCTGTCCGGCGCTCCCGGTGTTCCCCCCGGCCCTGAAGAGGGGGCATCAACAGGCAGGGTACCGGTGCGAGGAGGAAGATGGGGCGGGGGCGTGGGAAGGACCCAGCGCCCCGCCGACTGCGCGGAGATGAGCAAAGGCAAACGCACTGCCACGCACACTCACCGCAGAGGGCAGCACTGAACCGGTTGGGGGTGGAAACCGCAGGCTCCCGCAGGGCGCGCTGGAGCTGTGAAAGAGGCAATCAGCCCGCGTTCAAGCCACACCCAAACAAGGCACGCGCCCCGTCGCGACGCTCGGCGCACGCGCACTCCGTGCCGGGCGCAGCTCCACGCCCCGCCGGGGCCGCCGCCCGACCCTTCCCAAATTAGGAGAACGGTTTACTAGATTTGGTCCCAGGGCGTGGCCCCGCCTACATAAGAACGCGTATCCCCTCAGCCGGCCAATCACGTACGTTTCCAGGCTTCGAGACCCCGCCCCGCCTCGAGATTAACCCTTCCATCGGGAACGCGTGTTTGGGATTCCGATTGGACCGGAGTTGGCGCGTGCGCATTAGTTTCGGCGCAGGCTCAGTTTGGAGGTAGAAGCGCACAGTGCTGTGGGCGGAAGTGGGGAGGCTTAGGAAGCGACGGTGGAAGGAGCGTGGTAGCTGCGGTTGGGTCCTGGGGAAGCTAGAAGTAAACTTTTTTCTCAGTGTCCTGCTCCTATGGCTGTGAATCTACTTATCAGAAGTTGCTACCGTGAGTCCCTTATCCATGATTGTGCCTCCGGCTATATTATGATCTTGTCAAAGACAAGAACTGAATGGTCGTCTTTGTCGCTAGCGCCCAGCCGTGGACCTCTGTGTCACATGAAGAGGAAAAGAGCAAGATAAATAAATCACTTCTTTTTTTCTAATACTACACTCAAAATTGCTTCATATTTTGTTTTGTTTTCTATTGAATGATGATTTTATTATACAACTTTCGCTTTTTTACTAGCATTTCTGATTTTCTTCTTGTAACCTTTACGATATTTCTAAACTCTTGCAACTTTACATTTCTCTCCATTGCTTGAAATCCAATGAATTCTTGAAAACTAGGAATCCACTAACTTACCGCTCTAGACTGACTCTTTCTGTCTTTCCAGCTGGGTGGTTGTCTGATTTTACTTCATTTCTGGGTTTCGACCGACCTCTCTTGGTATGCATCTTGCTGGAGTACCTCTGTGCACTAAATTATGTTCCTCAAGTATCCCTTTTGATGTGTGTTTATCTAGTTCTTTTCCATTCTTGCTGCTGTAATTCTTTCTCTGTCTGATGATTCCTATTCAAGCATGAAGGTCTGAGCGGATTTTTCTAGGTAGCTGGTGTATTTGCTTCCCTCCTAGATCAGCATTAACTTTCCCTGGGCTGTTTGTTCCATTTCTTTAGAGATGAGAACCCAGTGTTATGTCTGCACGTAATCACAACACTGCCTCTGCTGGTGGAGGGAAATGATGAATTGTGAGCACCAGCTAATGCCATTGTATTACTTCTGGTCTCACCCTCTCAAACTGCATCTACCAACCCCACATCCAGATAACAACTGGGGAATTGATTCGCAATTTCGCAGCATTTCTCTCTTGAAATTATTTTGAGCTGCAGTTTCTTTCTGTTTTATTTGTCACCATGCTTCCATTCACATCCTGTTTTCCAGAAGTTGTTTTTACTCCTCTGTAATTCTCCTCTTGTTCTCTTCACTTTACCGGTGCAATTCTTTATGCAATGTGTCCCTAAATGCCAGATTTTCATAATATGGAAACAGGGCCAGCTTCTTGGGTATTCCACCTGTGCAGTTACCCAAAGCTTCATGCCTACATGGACCACACACTTGGATTAATGCTCTGCTGTCACCATCTTGAAATGTTTCATAATTTTAAAATAATTTTTACTGTTTTATAATTTTAAAAACGTTTTTCTTTTGCACTGAACCTTGCAATTAGTTTCCAGTCCTGCATGGAAAAGTCAGTATTCACCAGAGTTTAAATCACTTCCACAGCATCACTGCCAAGTTCTCTGCTTACATACAGTCTGTGCTTCAGTACTTCCCATTAGGAGAAATGTATTACCACCACCCCTGGGCCCACAGTGTGGGCCAATCACAGATAAAGTATGGAAGATGCCTGGTCCACATGAGGCATATTAGATTATGACAACTGGTAAATTCGCATAAATTACTATGTAAATCATTAATTTTAAAAATGCCTTTTTATTCTCTAAATTGTATTATAATAAATTACTTAAGTGACATATATAAAGTTGCCAAATTAAAATTTGAAAAGCAAATTTTTCATCAAATATCCAACAATTATATTATTTTTCTTCTAATAATTTCCCCCACTAAGTGATAGCCATGGGGCCCTGCCTGGGTGGTTCAGTTGGTTGGAGTGTTGTCCTGTGTATCAAAAGGTTTCAGGTTCGATCCCAGTCAGGGCACATTCCTAGGTTTCGGGTTCAATCCCAATGGGAGCACATAGGGAGGCAACTGATGGATGTTTCGCTCACTCACCCTCTATATGTGTGTGTCTTTCTCTCTCTCTAAAAAGATCAATAAAAACATATCCTCAGGTGAGGATTCAAAAAAAAGATGATAGCTATGGGGTGACTTATGGTCTCAATAAGTAAAAAAAATAAATAAATAAATTCCTCCATAAACATTATTTTGATGCTGTATAATCTCAAGTTTTACAAAACTAAATTTTCATTACATTAAAATTTTTCTAGGTCATTTAGCAGTGTCAATCTTTTAAATCATTCCAATAGACTTACGAAAACATTTTGACTGTCATATTTAATTCACACCCTTCAGGTGTGGTGTGGGGCTCTCTCTTGCGCAGTTGCTAGGATTAGAATTACAACTCTGTTGCTCAAGTTTCATATAACTTTTCCATACCTCATTTTTCTCACCTGTAAAATAGGGGCAATTGTTCTTAGTATTCTGTTTCAGTGAATCATATATGAGAATGATGCCTGGCATAGAGCAAATATATAGATAATAGTTCTCATTTTTCTTAATAAAATTAATGGTGTTAGTGTTGCTTGGTGAATTATTAGAGATGTTTATCAAATCCTTCCATTAAGTGGAGTTGAAATTTAACAGAAAATTATGACAAGTAGGAACCATATCCTAGGCATCTCTTAGCCCCAAACTGGCATCAGCCCCATCCATCCTGAGCTATTCTTCACAAGAGAATCTGAAGTGCCAGGAGATGCCACTGGGTCCAGAGAGAGCCTGTGGTAGCCCCTTGCTGAGCTATTCCTGATGGTCAGATAAGGGTGACTTTGACCAGCGATGGCTAGACTTAACCTTGAAGACAAAAAGGCATGGGCTCTGTTCTTCATGCTTAGGTCTATTGTTTCAGGAGAAGGAGATCAAAGTGGGGAGAGATCAAATGGTAGGTGGAAGCCTGGCTTACCCACACCACACATACATACCCAGTTCTGAGTTCTCAGACTATAAGCATGTAGGAGTGGGTATTACCAGGAAAATTGAATCAGAATGGCCCCAGGTAATGCTGGAATAGGGTCCTAATGCCCCCCTCTATGTTTGCATTAGTCCTTTGGTTGCTGGATCATAGGAAGGCTGGAAGAAGTGTTGTCAGGGTTTGGTTATTGTAACCTGCCCTGTGCCTTCTCAAACAGGGTGTCTAAAGTTCACCTGGAGTGGGATGGAGCTATAGGGTAACCATAAGACTTTCTTAGTTCAGTGTATGCTCAGTTACAGACAGTAGACATTCCTTTTTATTTAAATTTGTGCTTGTTTTGTTTCCTTCAGACCAGGTGAAATATCACTTTCCATTAACTTCCAACTAAGACCTCCCTTTCCCCATCCCTCAAACCCATGTATTTACCTTACGGCTTTTGGGATTCCAGTATAGCCTGAAAGCAGCATTTTGGTGAATCTCAATATTTTAACATCCAAAATGCCTATACTAATGTGAACTAATTGATTGTTAGCTCTGTCCAGAGGTCTGATAGCTAACAATGGAGCTTCATGGTGATGCAATTTGGGAGCAGGAAAGTTATCACTTAGCCACTAGATCTAGAAAGCTGGCTTAATGTAAAATTTCACCAGATAAGGAAACTGAGGATTTTGCCTTGGGATTAGCTCAGGAAACCAGGCAAGATGGAGCTGGGAAGTAGGCTTTTTGAAGTAGGGAGACAGTTATGGAGTTGTATGGCTGTTTTGTTCACCACTTTATCCTCAGTGTGCCTAGTACATGTCATAGAGTAAATGCTCAAGAAACATTTATAAATAAGTGAGTTAAATGCAGAAAGAGAAGAAATGAGATGGGTCTTACTAATGAGAGCTGACATAAACTTGTATATAAAAACACCTAAAGACTGTTAGAACTAATAAATGAACTCAGTAAAGTAGCAGGATACAAAATCAACATATGAAAATCAGTTATATTTCTATACACTAACAACAAACTATCTGAAAGAAAAATCAGGAAAGCAATTCCATTCACAACTGCATCAAAAACAATAAAAACACTTAGGGAGAAATTTAACCACAGCAGTGAAAGACCTGTTCACTGAAAGCTGTAAGACACTGATGCCAGAGATTAAAGAAGATGCAAATCAACAGAATGACATCCCCTGTTCTTGGGTTGGAAGAACTAATATTGTGAAAATGTCCATACTACCCAAAGCCATCTACAGAGTCACTGCAATCCCCATCAAAACTCCAGCTGCATTTTTCACAGAACTAGAAAAAGCAATCTCAAAATCTGTATGGAGCCACAAGAGACCCCACATAGTCAAAGAAATCCTGAGTAAGAACCAAGCTAGATTCTTCGGAAGCTAGCAGTGGTCTAGCTGGATGTTAAACTCACCCCCTCCGAGGACCAAACCGGAATTACAACTAAATTATAGAACAATCAACCTGAATATCCAGCAAAGACCACCTGAACAGAAGGCTTATAACCAAGGACTTACAGAAGAAGCCACATAGAGACTGGTAGGAGGGGCAGAGACATGGAAAGGGCTGGCTCTGCTCCTATGTGGGGAGGTTGAGAATCTGGAGGGATATCTCAGCTGCAAAGGTTCCTCCCAAGGAGTGTGGGGTCTCAACCTCATTCCAGGTTTCCCAGCCCAAAACATAAAAGCCAGGAAGAAGAGCCCACATAACACCTGGCTGTGAAAATCAGTGCAGATTCTGTCCACCAGGATGAGACACAAGTCTGCTAGAAACCCAGGTGCCCTCTTAAAGGGCCAACACACAAAATCTCATTAGTGGCCACTCACCCTGGGCTCTGGC